TAGACTGCCATTAATATGCAGATCAGTACCTTCTGGCCTCCAACTACTGGCTTCTAGAAACTTCTCCAAGCTTCTAGAACCAGGGGGAGGTACAAGAGGCCTGGCCTGTAGAGCCCTTCAGCCTGACCTCACACTGAACCCACTGACTCACACCCAGGCTTTTAACAAGTCTCTAATTGTACTACAAATTATGTACATCAGAGGGTGCTACAGGCATAAAAACACAGAGTAAAAAAAACACACCTTGTCCCAATAAGAACCCAAATAAAATGCTAAAACTATTAGTTGAAAGAGTTAGGCTACAGCTTTACTGATTTAGCAGTGTATATATTCTCAAATAATTTGTCAACTTCCAACTTGTTAACTTGTCAACAATCAACTTCAAGTATACAAAAAATCTTGCCTATAATAGATGAACTGTGAGTGCATAAAATTAGCATAACATAGAATAAAAATATAACCTTTTTTTCTGGTCTCTACTTTACTCAACTACTAGGCATTCACGGCACACTTAACTAGCTCCATGTGCTGTGTATGGCCAAAAGGCCATTAAAAGATTCCAAATGCCACATCTCACAGTAGTCAGGAGCCTGTTTCTAAAAGTGGTGGGCCAAGGACCTGTTCAAGAAAGGGGTTATTTTTTTTCATCTCCAGGGAAATTCCTCTAATGATAGAGAATAAAAATTGCTTTCATTGAGACCATATAGAAGTTTAGACCATGATTAAATGAAAACCCTGGCATTTCTGAACTATTCATATACAGTAAATGAGTCAAAAATTCATCTTAAAATAACTCCACTGTATGTTTAAAATTCACTGTGAGACAGAACACGTGTGGAGAGCAGTGGTACACACAAGGCTTTTATTGAGTGATTTTGAGGCCACAAGATGAGTATAGCAAGGTTCTGGCAAAAAAAAGGTTAAGTCCATAACACAGGGTGGGGCACACAACAAGGATCAACGAGTTCTAGTAGGTGACAAGGGGGGTTAGTCTGTAGCACCGTCTGGGCCCACAACAGGGAGTCGGGCAAGGATTAAGTCCAGGTTGGCACACAGCAGGCAGATAGAACTCTGGCAGGCAAAGAATTAAGTCCAGGTTGGCGTACAGCAGGGAGGCAGAACTCTGGTGGACAATGGATTAAGTCCAGGTTGGATCCTCAGTGCAGGGGTTGGCACACAGCAGGGAAGCAGAACTCTGGCGGGCAAGGATTAGGTCCAGGTTGGCACACAGCAGGGAGGCAGAACTCTGGCGGGCAATGAATTATGTCCAGGTTGGCACACAGCAGGGAGGCAGAACTGTGGCGGGCAATGGATTATGTCCAGGTTGGCACACAGCAGGGAGGCAGAACTCTGGCGAGCAATGGATTAAGTCCAGGTTGGCACACAGCAGAGAGACAGAACTCTGGCGTGCAATGGATTAAGTCCAGGTTGGCACACAGCAGGGAGGCAGAACTCTGGCAGGCAAAGAATTAAGTCCAGGTTGGCGCACAGCAAGGAGGCAGAACTCTGGTGGACAATGGATTAAGTCCAGGTTGGATCCTCAGTGCAGGGGTTGGCACACAGCAGGGAAGCAGAACTCTGGCGGGCAAGGATTAGGTCCAGGTTGGCACACAGCAGGGAGGCAGAACTCTGGCGGGCAATGAATTATGTCCAGGTTGGCACACAGCAGGGAGGCAGAACTGTGGCGGGCAATGGATTATGTCCAGGTTGGCACACAGCAGGGAGGCAGAACTCTGGCGGGCAATGGATTAAGTCCAGGTTGGCACACAGCAGGGAGACAGAACTCTGGCGTGCAACGGATTAAGTCCAGGTTGGCACACAGCAGGGTGGCAGAACTCTGGTGGCAAGGATTAAGTCCAGGTGGGCACACAGCAGGGTGGCAGAACTCTGGTGGCAAGGATTAAGTCCAGGTGGGCACACAGCAGGGAGGCAGAACTCCTGCAGGCAATGGATTAAGTCCTGTTTGGCACAAAGCAGGTGGGCAGAACTCTGTCGGGAAATGAAGGGAGCAAGGGACTGGTAGCAATGGCAGGCCAGCCAGGCTCCTCAGAGGTCCATGGGTTCTGGGATGGAGAGGGGGCTGTAGGGTCTGGCCTCAACACAAAACCTCTCTCAGCACACTAGGATGCAAGGAGCGAGCAGGGAGGAGACTGACTGTGCCCGGGTCTTGCTCCAGTATTTATCTCCGGAGCAGGATTCTCCCAAGTTGCCAGGCATCGACCACCCAGGCGTTGGGTTGCCATGGCAATACGCCCCCCCCCCTCACTCCGGCCACGCACAGGGATCGTGGCCTTTGTCTCCGGCAGGTGCAGAATGTGGGAACGTTGGGACCGCGCTGTTCTCGCTGAAACAAGGCAGGGGGTGCGCAGCAACATCCAGGTGGCCTGCATGTGGGGAATCCACATGCAGGCACAGTGGGGAGGCAGACTCCTCGGCACTCAGCCGAGGAGAGGTGTGGGTTCTGCAGCAGGAGGCAACTCCCTGGCACCCAGCACTTATATGGGCTATGTTCGGGCGCAGGGGCATGTAATGGGGAAGGGGGGGGTGCAGGGATCTGGAGGGGGGGAAGAGAAGGAGCAGAGGGGACCATGACACACTGGAATTAATATTTACTAAGTATGCACCTGCCACTAATTCACCCATCTTAATGGCCAATGTTAGCAAGTCTCCGCTTTTCTTTTTGCTTCCTTATTTATGCCTCTTAGGCTGAGGATTATGAGAAAGTAGTATGAAGATGAGTTATTTGCTTGAAGTTCTGCTTTAAAATTCTAGTATGTTTTTTGTAATAGGGCTTGTGAAAGCTCTGACATATATGAACGTAGCCTAGTTCCCACACTTTAGTAGTTGAGACAGGAAGACCTGAGGAACATGTACAGTTTGACTGTGTTTTTGACCTTTGTTGTTTCAGTTGAATTTACAGTTTCTGAGTTTCCTCCTTTGGCGACTTTGTACATTGCAAGGGACTTATTTGAAGTCTGCGCTTTTAACTTTCCAGATAAACTGTTTTGAGAAATTTTGACCTTTCTTTCCTACGGTAATTAATGGCCTTACACACAATGAAAGGCAGCTTGTGTTCATGTTCTCCTTTTGTCCCTAGGATTTTATAACATTTTGTTTAAAACTCTGTTATAAAATGCTGCAATAACTTGTATCTGTGTGCACACAAGCATTTTGGTAAGAAGATTGCCTTTTCAGACACAATAGATATGGGACATATCCTTAGGTGTACAAGGTAGCATGATGCATAGAAACCAACAGTTGCAAACTTAATCTATAAAGAATTACTGGTTTGAAAAGATCGAAATGCCTTAAAGTGAAACCAAACTCCACAATACTCATGTCTGCTTTAAGTCTGCAAATCTGCACTACCTTGTTCATGCTCCTCCCAGAATGGGTAGCTTCAGCCATTTTGATTGGCCATGGTAACTAACTCCCGCGCATGCCAATGGGTGCTAATGCATCCTGGCCCTGAGGCATGTCAAGAATGTACATTGAGCTGTGCAAGCAGGAGGGTAAAAGATTTTATTGCAGAAGAGACATATATTTCTCAGCAATAAGGAAAAAACTTACTGTCAGGAATGGACTGGCCAGCAATAGTGGGACTCAGCTGCCTTATGAGCTGCAGTACCAGGGCTGGCCAGCGGGTGCTCCCAGCAATCAGAGACTCAACCTTGCAGCCAGTCAAACACCTGGAACTAATTATACTGGTGTATTTAAGGGACATTCAGACCTGCAGACTCTGCCTTGGTGTTGTGTTTCTCCTGGGCCCTGTATCCTGTTCCTGCTCCCTGTTCCCTGTTCCTGTCTGATTCTCTGCTGACCCTGCTCTGATCCCTGGCTTGTCTGACCATTCTCCTGATCCCTGGCTTGTCTGACCATTCTCCTCTGCCTGACCCTCTGTACCACATTGCTGAACCTGGCTTGTGACTCCGACCATTCTCCGCTTGCTCCCCCTGTACCTACCTGCCCGATTGATATTGACCCGGCCTGCCTAACGACGCTTGCATTGTATGTACTGTTATCTGTGGGTGGTTGGTTTGGTTTGTTTGCACTGTATTATGTTTAGTATTGCACTGCGTTTATGTTTGTATTGTTAGTGTTAATAAATTACATTGTTTATAACATATCTGAAGCCTGCGTTTTCCCTGCGTCAGTCACACACCTCTGGTCACACCCGGGAGCCCTGACATTACACCAAGGCCAATCCTGACCAGAAGTGGCTGCACAGGGAAGCCATCTTGGTTTGTTGATGGGAAGGATGGATCTGGATGAGGTTGCGTATTTATATCTGCTAGTGTTTGATGACAGGGAGTATGCTTATCAAACTCTGAAGGAGTATACCCGGGATGAACTGCTAGAATGTATACGGCTCTCGCTCATGTTCTAGTAGATCAGGGCACAGAGTTCTCTGAGGAAGCATTTGATTGAGGTTTTGTGCTGAGTTGGTTTCATCTGGTACCCCCGAATGCAGGGATGAATTTTTGCCACCATTTAGTGCAGACCAGGTAGAGTCCCTGGTGTGGTTATTAGAGGATGATGTGGGTTACTTTCTGGAGCGTTATTCCACATGTTCACCACAGGTACTAAGAGATTGTATAAACGCAGTGCAGTCATTGATCAGACAGGCTTTGTGTAAGCTCAGCTTTGTTCAACCCATACTGCAGACATGGACAGACTTGTTGCACCCAGCCTCAGTCAGCCTACAAAAAACCCAGTCCTGCTTCTAATCTATTTCCTCAAAACTCTATTTCTGCATTCCCAACAGCTCCCTCCTGCCCTGCTATCTACCGCATGTCAGTACCCTGTTCCCACTCGCTGCACCTATCCTGCCTTTAACCCTGTAAAAAAGCCCTCTGTAGCAACTGCTCCCTCTCCTGTTCCATCCTCCAGTTCTTCTCTGTCTCCAGCTGCTCCATTCGTTTGCAGACCTGCGTTTACTTGCAGTGCTCCAGTAGTTAAAACCAGAAAAAAGCGAAAATTCTTTCCAACCAATACCATCCTGCCAGTATCCAAACAGGTGAGCCTGCCGTCTGAGAACCTGTCTTCCGTGGTTCAGCCTGGTGCCTCGGCACCCGCCATTTCAGCCTGATGCCTCTATTCAGCCTGGTGCCTGTACCCAGCCTGGTGCCTCCACTCAGCCTGATGCCTCTACTCAGCCTGGTGCCTCTACTCAGCCGGATGCCTCTACTCAGCCGGATGCCTCTACTCAGCCGGATGCCTCTACTCAGCCTGATGAACTGATCCAGCCGATGATCCTATTAGGCCAGTTGACTCGATACCCGCTGTTGATCCAGACGATCCGGTACCTGATCCAGTGCCCGCTGTCGTGCCAATTGACTCAGAGCCCGCTGTCATACCTGGTGACTCGGTGCCCACTGCCTTGCCAGATGACGCGGTGCCCGCTGGCGAGCCAAATGACCTGATGCCTGGTGACCCAGTGCCCGCTGTCATACCTGGTGACCCAATGCCCGCTGTTGAGCCAGACGATCCAATGCCTGGTGACCCGGTGCCCACTGCCTAGCCAGATGACGCGGTGCCCGCTGGCAAGCCAAATGACCTGATGCCTGGTGACCCGATGCCCGCTGTCCAGCCAGACCATTCAATGTCTGCCCCAGTGCCCGCGGTCATGCCAGTTGACTCGGAGCCCACTGCCTTGCCAGATGACGCGGTGCTCGCTGTCGAGCCAAATGACTTGATGCCTGGTGACCCGATGCCCGCTGTCCAGCCAGACGATCCGGTACCTGATGACCCGGTGTGCCCGCTGTCGTGCCAATTGACTCAGAGCCCACTGTCGTGCCTGTTGACTCGGAGCCCACTGCCTTGCCAGATGACGCGGTGCCCGCTGTCGAGCCAAATGACCTGATGCCTGGTGACCCGATGCCCGCTGTCCAGCCAGACGATTCAATGTCTGCCCCAGTGCCCACGGTCATGCCAGTTGACTCGGAGCCCACTGCCTTGCCAGATGACGCGGTGCTCGCTGTCGAGCCAAAGGACTTGATGCCTGGTGACCCGATGCCCGCTGTCCAGCCAGACGATCCAATGTCTGACCCAGTGCCAGCGGTCATGCCAGTTGACTCGGAGCCCACTGTCGTGCCTGGTGACTCGGTGCCCGCCGCTTCGCCTGGGGGCCCAAGACCTGTCGCTCCGCCTGGGGGTCCGGCGCCCGCCGCTCCGCCTGGGGGCCTGAGACCTGTCGCTCCGCCTGAGGGCCGAGACCTGTCGCTCCATCTGGGGGTCCGGCGCCCGCCGCTCCGCCTGAGGGCCCGAGACCTGTCGCTCCGCCTGGGGGTCCGGCGCCCGCCGCTCCGCCTGAGGGCCCGAGACCTGTCGCTCCGCCTGGGGGTCCGGCGCCCGCCGCTCCGCCTGAGGGCCCGAGACCTGTCGCTCCGCCTGGGGGTCCGGCGCCCGCCGCTCCGCCTGAGGGCCCGAGACCTGTCGCTCCGCCCGCTCCGCCTGGGGACCTGCCCGAGACCTGTCGCTCCGCCTGGGGGCCCGGCGCCCGCCACTCCTCCTGAGGGCCCGAGACCTGTCGCTCCACCTGGGGGTCCGGCGCCCACCGCTCCGCCTGAGGGCCCGAGACCTGTCACTCTACCTGGGGTCCGGCGCCCGCCGCTCCGCCTGAGGGCCCGAGACCTGTCGCTCCACCTGGGGGTCTGGCGCCCGCCGCTCCGCCTGAGGGCCCGAGACTTGTCGCTCCATCTGGGGGTCCGGCGCCCGCCGCTCCGCCTGAGGGCCCGAGACCTGTCACTCCGCCTGGGGGTCCGGCGCCCGCCGCTCCGCCTGGGGGCCCGATGCCTGTCGCCCCGCCTGGGGGCCCGATGCCTGTTGCCCCTCCTGGGGGCCCAATGCCTGTCGCCCCGCCTGGGGGCCCGATGCCTGTCGCCCCGCCTGGCCAGATGACGCGGTGCCCGCTGTCGAGCCAAATGACCTGATGCCTGGTGACCCGATGCCCGCTGTCCAGCCAGACGATTCAATGTCTGCCCCAGTGCCCACGGTCATGCCAGTTGACTCGGAGCCCACTGCCTTGCCAGATGACGCGGTGCTCGCTGTCGAGCCAAAGGACTTGATGCCTGGTGACCCGATGCCCGCTGTCCAGCCAGACGATCCAATGTCTGACCCAGTGCCAGCGGTCATGACAGTTGACTCGGAGCCCACTGTCGTGCCTGGTGACTCGGTGCCCACCGCTTCGCCTGGGGGCCCAAGACCTGTCGCTCCGCCTGGGGGTCCGGCGCCCGCCGCTCCGCCTGGGGTCCGGCGCCTGTCGCCCCGCCTGGGGGCCCGATGCCTGTCGCCCCGTCTGGGGGCCCGATGCCTGTCGCCCCGCCTGGGGGCCCCGATGCCTGTCACCCCGCCTGAGGGCCCGATGCCTGTCGCCCCTCCTGGGGGCCCGGCGCCTGCCGCTCCGCCTGGGGGCCCGGCGCCCGCCGCTCCGCCTGGGGGCCCGATGCCTGTCGCCCCGCCTGGGGGCCCGACGCCTGTCGCCCCGCCTGGGGGCCCGACGCCTGTCGCCCCGCCTGGGGGCCCGACGCTGGTCGCCCCGCCCGGGGACCTGATGCCGGTCGCCCTGCCCGGGGGCCCGGTGTCTGCTGCTCCGCCCGGGGGCCCGGTGCCTGCTGCTCCGCCCGGGGGCCCGGTGCCTGCTGCTCCGCCCGGGGGCCCGCTGCCTGCTGCTCCGCCCGGGGGCCCGCTGCCTGCTGCTCCGCCCGGGGGCCCGGTGCCTGCTGCTCCGCCCTGGGGGCCCGGTGCCTGCTGCTCCGCCTGGTGGCCCGCTGCCTGCTGCTTCGCCTGGTAATCCGATGTGCCTCTGCCCGGAGTCCGGCCCCATGTGCCTCTGCCCGGAGTCCAGCCCGATGTGCCTCTGCCCGGAGTCCAGCCCGATGTGCCTCTGCCCGGTGTGCCTCTGCCCGATGTGCCTCTGCCCGATGTGCCTCTGCCGGAGTCCAGCCCGATGTGCCTCTGCCCGGAGTCCTGCCCGATGTGCCTCTGCCCAGAGTCCTGCCCGATGTGCCTCTGCCCGGAGTCCTGCCCGATGTGCCTCTGCCCGGAGTCCTGCCCGATGTGCCTCTGCCCGGAGTCCTGCCCGATGTGCCTCTGCCCGGAGTCCTGCCCGGTGTGCCTCTGCCCGGAGTCCTGCCCGGTGTGCCTCTGCCCGGAGTCCAGCCCGGTGTGCCTCTGCCCGGAGTCCAGCCCGGTGTGCCTCTGCCCGAGTCCAGCCCGGTGTGCCTCTGCCCGGAGTCCAGCCCGATGTGCCTCTGCCCGGAGTCCAGCCCGATGTGCCTCTGCCCGGAGTCCAGCCCGATGTGCCTCTGCCCGGAGTCCAGCCCGATGTGCCTCTGCCCGGAGTCCTGCCCGATGTGCCTCTGCCCGGTCCTGCCCGATGTGCCTCTGCCCGGAGTCCTGCCCGATGTGCCTCTGCCCGGAGTCCAGCCCGATGTGCTTCTGCCCGGAGTCCAGCCCGATGTGCCTCTGCCGGAGTGCCTCTGCCCGGAGTCCAGCCCGATGTGCCTCTGCCCGGAGTCCAGCCCGATGTGCCTCTGCCCGGAGTCCAGCCCGATGTGCCTCTGCCCGGAGTCCTGCCCGATGTGCCTCTGCCCGGAGTCCTGCCCGATGTGCCTCTGCCCGGAGTCCAGCCCGATGTGCCTCTGCCCGGAGTCCAGCCCGGTGTGCCTCTGCCCGGTGTGCCTCTGCCCGATGTGCCTCTGCCCGGAGTCCAGCCCGATGTGCCTCTGCCCGGAGTCCAGCCCGGTGTGCCTCTGCCCGGAGTCCAGCCCGGTGTGCCTCTGCCCGGAGTCCAGCCCGGTGTGCCTCTGCCCGGAGTCCAGCCCGATGTGCCTCTGCCCGGAGTCCAGCCCGATGTGCCTCTGCCCGGAGTCCAGCCCGATGTGCCTCTGCCCGGAGTCCAGCCCAATGTGCCTCTGCCCGGAGTCCAGCCCGATGTGCCTCTGCCTGGAGTCCAGCCCGATGTGCCTCTGCCCGGAGTGCCTCTGCCCGGAGTCCAGCCCGATGTGCCTCTGCCGGAGTCCAGCCCGATGTGCCTCTGCCCGGAGTCCAGCCCGATGTGCCTCTGCCCGGAGTCCTGCCCGATGTGCTGCTGCCCGGAGTCCTGCCCGGTGTGCCAGTCAGTCTTTGATATCCCGCCAGTTACCAGACCCGGGGCGGTGGAACATTTTGCCCAGCTAGGACTGTTTGGAGTGTCCTGAGGCCGCTCCTTGAGGGGGGGGTACTGTCAGGAATGGACTGGCCAGCAATAGTGGGACTCAGCTGCCTTATGAGCTGCAGTACCAGGGCTGGCCAGCGGGTGCTCCCAGCAATCAGAGACTCAACCTTGCAGCCAGTCAAACACCTGGAACTAATTATACTGGTGTATTTAAGGGACATTCAGACCTGCAGACTCTGCCTTGGTGTTGTGTTTCTCCTGGGCCCTGTATCCTGTTCCTGCTCCCTGTTCCCTGTTCCTGTCTGATTCTCTGCTGACCCTGCTCTGATCCCTGGCTTGTCTGACCATTCTCCTGATCCCTGGCTTGTCTGACCATTCTCCTCTGCCTGACCCTCTGTACCACGCTGCCCGCTACCTGCTGAACCTGGCTTGTGACTCCGACCATTCTCCGCTTGCTCCCCCTGTACCTACCTGCCCGATTGATATTGACCCGGCCTGCCTGACGACGCTTGCATTGTATGTACTGTTATCTGTGGGTGGTTGGTTTGGTTTGTTTGCACTGTATTATGTTTAGTATTGCACTGCGTTTATGTTTGTATTGTTAGTGTTAATAAATTACATTGTTTATAACATATCTGAAGCCTGCGTTTCCCTGTGTCAGTCACACACCTCTGGTCACACCCGGGAGCCCTGACACTTACTGTTTGCAATTTTTTGTTTTTAAGACCAAATTCCATTGTAAAGGATCATGCATAGACAAAAACATTATCTACCTAATTTACATAAATTCAAAAACGGTATTATTATTATATTAATAGAGAGTCATTTTCAAATTCAGATTAATTTTTTTTAAATACTACTTTACCTATGGATTTACACTAAAGTTGGGTGTTTTTTTTCTTCCTTTATGATATTATTCCTGCATGGAGCTTCATTGCATATTGAATTGTGGGACATATTTTAATGTAGGGCCTGGCAAGACCCCTGAAGGAGGTTGGAGGTTCTGTGGAGCATTAAACAAGCACTGTATGACCTTTCCTTAGTGCGGACCATTTGAATCTGGTAAGTCCCCACTTTTTACACACTTGTGGTAGTTTGCATGGTGGTCTTAGTGTTGAAAAGCTTTGAGACATTTTGGTATTCACATTCCACTTTTCTTCTGCCATATACAGAGAAGATCATTTAATCATTTTCTGGTTTTTTATTGGGACTTTTTTATTTCCTCACTTATATTCATGCACTTACTTTGACTTATATGTTTATAACTAAGTTTTTATGGTCACATTATTTTTGCATTATACACATTATTTATATTTTTGATTATTTGCACATGATTTTTTTTTTTATATATGATGGCTGCACTTCTGTTTTTTAATTTATGTATATCATGTATTAGGGAATCATGCCAGCTGCTTTTTAATATTAAATTTTTGTGCTCTTAGCGCTTTTTTTTCTTTG